AATTATGCATACAATGGACTCAGGACAAGATGCGTTTCTATAAGTCTTCCTACCATTATGACCAAGTTGCAAAAACAAGGTCAAACAACATTAATATGATTTCAAGTTCATCACTATTCTCAATCTAACTTTTAATATTATATGCTTTCCTGTTATTAAATTATGTTTTCCTTTTTTAACTATCTTCTTTCATTACAATCCTTCTCATAGTTACTATCCTCTTTATTATTTTTGATATCATGTTTATGGATGCCTAGGAATGGCCACGAATGTTATGTATTTAACATTCCATTTCATAAGTGCTTAATTTGATTATGTTTTAACTGTAAAAATTATTATATCTTTTCTTTATCTTGCTTTTTCCCTAAATTCTACTCTTTGATCTAGCCTATCTGGATGAGCAATAGCTTGTTTTGGCTTTTATCTCTCCTTTCCAAAGTCTGTCACGCCAACTCCCCCCGCAGCCTCCTAGTCGAAGTTGCTTGCATTGAGCGCCTGATTGGCTGGGCGGATCAGGAGTTGAACGAGCCTACGCACGGTGACATTGCATTTGGCCTCACATTTAATTACGACTTTTCGGATGATGCTTCACTCCTTGTCAAGCATTAACGCTTTAGTATCTCTCTTCTCACACGTACTTGTTTTACTTTTCCCTATGTGTATCTTTTTTTAAAAACAGCTGATTTGTATTATATTGCACAAATTCATTTATTTATCTTTGTTATTGATAGTTCCCCACTTCTTAACGTCTGTCTACCTATTTGAAGATTAAATAGTGCCTTTTATATTATCAGGCCTATCTATGGAGAATAATAACCGAAATTGGCTTTAATCCTTGCCCTAATTTTAAGTCATGTCTCCTATTAGTATTTAACATTATTCGTTTAACCGGGCTATTTCATCTATCCATGATCAAATTAAACTTACATAAACGATGACAATCTGTGAATAATTGTACATATCAAGACCCACATTTCGTGTCCTCTATATTTATCGCATTCCCCTTTGCTACATAGAACGAGTCTAACCTAATTTTCTCAACTTACAATGCTGTCATGACTACCTCAAAGAATACGTCTTCTACGTCCTCTATCATAATAGCCATAAAAATTTTATCTATCCTACTTAATTTGGCTTAATCTTAGCTTGCCAATGGATCACGGAAAATAACCCCTAAAATATAATGGTTTCAGTGACAAGCTCTGAGGGAAACATGTGGGCCATTGCGGCATTAAAGGGGTCGCCGAGACTTGAACGATTATCCGAAGTTTACAAACCAAATTGATGGAATGCTCAAATTCACAATGGAAGGAGAGAAGAGGTCTTACCTCTCGTGGATATTGAAATAATTTGCTTGAATGGAACACTCAAAATTGTTATGTTGGTACAGTGTTGGCATTTATATTTAATAACCCTAAAATAGAATAAGTATATTCCTAGGGATAACTAACTCCTGAAATCGTTTTACATCAGTGATTAGATTTGGCTTGTAATTCAGACTTAGTTCAACAACAACATTAACTACTATTTTGCAAAAACTAGGTCGGATGACTTCCAAAAAATTAGCGTTAGAAGTAAATTCACAACCACTAAGCTGATAGTATAACTAAAGTTTTTTTTATGTGAAAAAAAAAATTTGGCAAATAATTCACAAACTTAGAAGTCAATTCACAACCACTAAGCTGATAGTATAACTAAAGTTTTTTTTATGTGAAAAATATTTGGCAAATAATTTACAAACTGATCTAATCGGAAGTCGATGACTGCCTCTGAATAGTGTTGCTGAGTTGAACCAATAAATCATCCGCCCTTTTTTCGCTTTCCCTATCACTTGCCTTCGTTGTCATACTTTTATCTGAACCCAAAGCGGCTATTAATTTACCGAGGAGTTTTTCCTAAAACCTAACTTCGCTTTCTCATTAGGGCATCTTACGATTTGTATGCTCGTTTCACGTCTCCTTACATTCTTGCGGATGAGTGAAGTTAAATAAGTGCGGATGAGGACGCAGCTAACAGCAACCTATTTAAAGTTTGATCATGCCATTAAGAATGTATTCTACCCGGTAGTAGTGCCCTTGTTATACGAGCACAACGCTTGAGACAATTTGTGTATTTAATGGCTATAAATGTAATCAGGGTTGTGCAGACTCTCCTTATTACTTATTTATTAATTCTATTTAACAGATAAAGATAATTGTTGCAAATTTAGTTACACGTTGCTTCAATTCTTGGTGCTTGTTAGTTCCCATGTTGTTATTTGCGCTTTGCTTGTCATTTTGACTTAAGGTTATCTATACCCGTACCAATGCTTGGGTGCAACGTGGTCTAATATCTAATAGATAAAATTTAAATCAATGTTCATCTGGATAGCAAAGGATTAGTATAAGGATTGCCTATATCAAAGCAGCAATAAGAACCTCGAAATAAATATTATATCCAGAGGCGAGTTTATCAGCAAGGCTATTCTTCGGTGAAGAAGAGCAACCTGCACCAGTCTTAAAACATGCTAATTCGGAGTAATCCGCATTCCTCCAATAGTAAAATATATAACGGGGACGGTTAAGTTCAAATCCTTTATCGGTGGTTATTCAAGTAGCGATCTGGTCCCTCGCCTCACTGTTGGGTTTAGACTTAGAATAATTTAATATTATCGAAAGAGAGCTGGTAGTCAAATGAGAGTTGATAAAATAAATAAGAGGGACCATAAATAAAAATTAAGTGTATAAGAGCAACAAATAATAAAGCATTCAGCCTAATAGAGCTCACGGTTAGAACAAGCAAACGACATATGTATGATATTGCCAACGGAAAAAGTGATAGGCAGGTGATGAATTGAGTAACAATATGGTACTAAAAAGAATTCACAAATTTTTGTTTATACCGCTAGGCTATGCCAGGAAACCCTTCATTTCATTTCAAACCACAAGGCATTACCACTTAGCCAATTAGCTCCAATACAAATTAATCCAATGTTAAATTTAGAATTCAAACAAACCACATTACGTGGGCTTGATTCCCTGAATTGAGGGGGATTCATTTCGGGTGAATTTTATTTGTAATTTTTATTGTGTATTTTGCTATAGTCATAATAATTACGATCTTAAATCGGCAAATGAATTTTTAAACAACTCATATTACAAAGGTGACGATGGGCCTGATATGGAGAAACGACAAACAAGCGCAAGATCAGGGAGGCCAATGACATTCTTGCGCAAGCAAATGTATTTAATTGGGGATTTGAAGCGGGCAAAGTTAGCAATAACTTTGCTTATTTTCAAAGCAAACTCAGAGAAAACAAGGATACAACAAAACAAGCTGAAAAGTTATGCCTTTATCAAGGACATAGCGGTTACTAGTGTAAAATAGATCGTGAGGAAGAAATGGATGAGGAAGATTAGGAAATTACGAGAACATGCCTGCACATAGAAAACACCAAAACTTTGGAGCATGTCGGTCACGGCATGAATGAGACGTATAGTCACAACTGTCGCTAAAATTCATCACCAGGCTAATTAATCGGAGCCACATTTATTAGAAATCCATTTGAGATGCAACAGGAGACCAGAGATAGACTTTTATAGTTTAGCGATGTAAATGGGTTAAATGATACTAAATGGCCTGTGGAGAAAAAGTCTGTTATTTGCATTGATGTGAATAAGGGCCTATGAATTCTGCTCGGTGAAGCCACAATATGCGAGCTACCAAAGTCTTGTGCTGGACCATGAGAAGTAGTGCCTGGCGTAAAACATACATTATACCTGGAAATGAATGAAATCAGTCAGTTATTAGGATACGAGGAGGGTGTCCGTTGGCATGAGAAAGATTTTTATAGTAGCTCCTATTAGAATGGGCAATTCCGACGAATTGAGGGGGATTGGAGGAATTTAAACAAGTATGTGTGAATGCACCACATTAAACTGCCCAAAAGGACGCATCCCTAGAAGAGTATAATATAAACGTGTCAGAACTTGTGATAGAGGAGTGTGAGATACGTGAACAGGGAGCAGGTTGATATACCAGGACAAAAGTAGGGGTGATAAAATACTCGTACTGATGAAATTTGGTCAAGGGATGCACTTCACTTGTCTCATTACTAGGTTCTAGCTTGTCTTTATAATTGCACAGCTTATTAATAATGCAGACTATTCTTTCAGCAAGGAGTGTGGGTATTTACCGTGTCCATGTTCCAGACCTTACTTACAAGATGACTCCGGGCAAGGTTCGTCGAAGTAGGTCTCCTTGACAGCACGACCAAGTTTCCACGAGGTCACAAAATCCTATTATTCATATCTCCGAGTTATTTATTAATTTTTTGTTATTATGTTATATGTTATGTTATAAACCTTATATTTTTAGAAGTGGGTTGACCTCGTTGTCGCAACTTGGTCTTGTTGTCAGAGCGACTATGTAAAACGCACCTAGTCTGAAGTCGCCTGCTATAGTCATTGTCATGATTCTTAGCATCTGACAGTGGACTTGAGAATGTATCAAGTCCCCCTGACAATAACATCAAGTTGCAACAACAAGGTCAAGCAACTTCTATAAATTGAAAGAAGACTGCTACCACAACAGAGGCCACAACATCTTTGTCCTCATATATTATTACATTTTTAAATTCTTCTTATTTCAATCATATATTTCAATAGCTTTTTTACTCTTCTTGATGCTCCTAATATAAATTTAGTCGTTTTGATTTTACCATTTTACCACAATATTAATTTATAAAAATTCCTTAATTTGTCTTTAAATTTGCCACATCATCCCCTTCATTCTGTTCTTTTACCTCTCTTCAATAGATGCTAACGCTACTGCTAATTACCTGCATTTTAGACTTATTATATTCGTATATTTTTAACTAGTACATGACAATTTCTTTTAGAATAATCTTGATATAGACTTAAATTTGCCTTTGTTTAGCATATTTGCTGACTAAATGCGCTTTAAAACTTTAGATCACTATATTACTTGTTAGCACAGGGTTGTCTCGAATAAATACGCCTTATAGATATATAAAATCCGTAGATAAACCATTTAGGACAAATATAAATCTTTGAAATATGGCCAAAATTACTTTTCTATTATTTACTCATTTTGTATCTCTTTGAGATTCTATTGTCAATTATGGCCATTGACTATTTATAATATGGTAATCTTGCAAGGTTCCTGATAGCTAAAAAATTCAATAGCACATCTTAGATGTCTTTGAAGAGAAAATTTATCTCATTCTATTGGCTAATGGGGAGCATGGCTGGTATTACTTGTGCGATAAGAAAAATAACAGATTTAAGAATCCCGACGTCAAGTAGGTACAGTAGGCAGGAAGTACTAATCCTATACAAGTTCATCCAACATTTATGCAAAGTAAAGCATACAAACCACTTATATCAACTAAATTAATGGATCAAGGGATACATGCTTAAGTCTGCTAGCCTTATTTTAAGCTCAATTAGATAATAAGTTTGCTCGAGGTACTTCACTTTAATGCAATGGAACGCAAATATGCCTTAAAAATAGAAAAAGTTATCATTAATATTGGAAAATTTGTCATTACTTTATCATCTATATAATTAATATTTGTATACTTATATTCTGCAGACCATTTTTATGAA